GTCTGAATATGAAAAGACTTATGGGACAACCTAATAGAAAATTTATTTCAAATAAGATAACATAGAGCAGAAATTTGACCTTATCAAGGTAGGTGAGTAATATGCAGAACCTTAACTACACATCGATCGATACAACTTTCTCATAAACTCAACACAAAACCCTGACAAAAATTAATGATCACATATGCGTTGCTAAGATGAGTAATGTCTTGTGTAACTACTTCATTCCAAATGAAAAAGAGAATGACAGGATTTCATTCAAAAAAGAAATATACTACTAAGACTTACTCAGCTTTGGGATCCGTATAGCCCATAAGTTTTATGAAGGGTTTCAACATATTGATGTCGAAATGGGGTTTTTCATTTCCGAACAGCACGAACGTGAAGATATGATTGAGAAACTTCTGAGTCAAGAAAACACAGGTGACCGTTCTCTTCTTCTCCCAGTTACATCCAAATGGTAGCACAGCTAGTTCATCAAATGTCACCGGTTGGAGCTGGAACTGTTCTTGGTAACTTTGAAAGATTATCGTGATTTCGCTTTTATAATCAGAAAAGGAAATTATTCAATTAGTCACTATACATTTCAGCGAATCGGGGTATTACATCCACTTTACCTTATCAATGAATTCCTCGTGATACTTATAGAATAGGCGAACTGCGGAGTCCGTGCTAAATGTTTGAGATAAATGGGTGAGTGGGACACCAATTGATATGTTTGAACGTATACCTCTGGTAACTATCTTCAATGATATCCAATCCAGGCAAATAGTTCCGGTACCTGTACGCTAATTTTGCTGCTTCTGAGAGGGCACAAACGTGGATCTAAAATCTTCTGGAACATCTAGTACTTATAATCACCCTATGATTGCGATTTTGGTCATCATTGTCTCAGAAGTTGCAGAAACCACATTAAATCGCTCAAAGTAAAGTAATGGGACTTGCATACAACACTTAATATCAGGTTGGCAGATGATTTCTGTTACTTTCAAAATTCTGAAAAATTCCGAAAATTTCCTAAACCTTCAAATTTGCTGAAGATGTAGTTCACGGCGTATAACAATATTACTAATCCCGCAAATGCACAATTGGCCAGCAAGTTTACGACAACTTTGTGAGCATAATCAAAATTGTCATCATTCATTGATATTTTTCTTTGCGTCTAAATGCTTTTTTCTTTCCTAAAAACATATTTTGACTATCGTTCCTATCAGGGCTCGGCATGAGGTGGCTTTTTTGATTTTTCAA